CTCTCTCTCTCTGGTCTCTCTGTGGCCTCTCTCTCTGGTCTCTCTCTGGTCTCTCTCTCTGGTCTCTCTCTGGTCTCTCTCTCTGGTCTCTCTCTCTGGTCTCTCTCTGGTCTCTCTCTCTGGTCTCTCTCTGGTCTCTCTCTCTGGTCTCTCTCTCTCTGGTCTCTCTGTGGCCTCTCTCTCTGGTCTCTCTCTGGTCTCTCTCTCTGGTCTCTCTCTGGTCTCTCTCTCTGGTCTCTCTCTCTGGTCTCTCTCTGGTCTCTCTCTCTGGTCTCTCTCTGGTCTCTCTGTGGCCTCTCTCTCTGGTCTCTCTCTCTGGTCTCTCTCTGGTCTCTCTGTGGCCTCTCTCTCTGGTCTCTCTCTGGTCTCTCTCTCTGGTCTCTCTCTGGTCTCTCTCTGGTCTCTCTCTCTGGTCTCTCTCTGGTCTCTCTCTGGTCTCTCTGTGGCCTCTCTCTCTGGTCTCTCTCTCTGGTCTCGCTCTGGTCTCTCTCTCTGGTCTCTCTCTGGCCTCTCTCTCTGGTCTCTCTCTCTGGTCTCTCTCTGGTCTCTCTCTCTGGTCTCTCTCTGGTCTCTCTCTCTGGTCTCTCTCTCTGGTCTCTCTCTGGTCTCTCTCTCTGGTCTCTCTCTCTGGTCTCTCTCTGGTCTCTCTCTGGCCTCTCTCTCTGGTCTCTCTCTGGTCTCTCTCTCTGGTCTCTCTCTCTGGTCTCTCTCTGGTCTCTCTCTCTGGTCTCTCTCTCTGGTCTCTCTCTCTGGTCTCTCTCTCTGGTCTCTCTCTGGTCTCTCTCTCTGGCCTCTCTCTCTGGTCTCTCTCTGGTCTCTCTCTCTGGTCTCTCTCTCTGGTCTCTCTCTCTGGTCTCTCTCTCTGGTCTCTCTCTCTGGTCTCTCTCTGGTCTCTCTCTGGTCTCTCTCTCTGGTCTCTCTCTCTGGTCTCTCTCTGGTCTCTCTCTCTGGTCTCTCTCTCTGGTCTCTCTCTCTGGTCTCTCTCTCTGGTCTCTCTCTGGTCTCTCTCTCTGGTCTCTCTCTGGTCTCTCTGTGGCCTCTCTCTCTGGTCTCTCTCTCTGGTCTCTCTCTGGTCTCTCTGTGGCCTCTCTCTCTGGTCTCTCTCTGGTCTCTCTCTCTGGTCTCTCTCTGGTCTCTCTCTGGTCTCTCTCTCTGGTCTCTCTCTGGTCTCTCTCTGGTCTCTCTGTGGCCTCTCTCTCTGGTCTCTCTCTCTGGTCTCGCTCTGGTCTCTCTCTCTGGTCTCTCTCTGGCCTCTCTCTCTGGTCTCTCTCTCTGGTCTCTCTCTGGTCTCTCTCTCTGGTCTCTCTCTGGTCTCTCTCTCTGGTCTCTCTCTCTGGTCTCTCTCTGGTCTCTCTCTCTGGTCTCTCTCTCTGGTCTCTCTCTGGTCTCTCTCTGGCCTCTCTCTCTGGTCTCTCTCTGGTCTCTCTCTCTGGTCTCTCTCTCTGGTCTCTCTCTGGTCTCTCTCTCTGGTCTCTCTCTCTGGTCTCTCTCTCTGGTCTCTCTCTCTGGTCTCTCTCTGGTCTCTCTCTCTGGCCTCTCTCTCTGGTCTCTCTCTGGTCTCTCTCTCTGGTCTCTCTCTCTGGTCTCTCTCTCTGGTCTCTCTCTCTGGTCTCTCTCTCTGGTCTCTCTCTGGTCTCTCTCTGGTCTCTCTCTCTGGTCTCTCTCTCTGGTCTCTCTCTGGTCTCTCTCTCTGGTCTCTCTCTCTGGTCTCTCTCTCTGGTCTCTCTCTCTGGTCTCTCTCTCTGGTCTCTCTCTGGTCTCTCTCTGGTCATTAAAAACAGAACATGTGAATCCAGTGTCGGTCTTTTGTCTGTTGTAACGACTCGAGGGAAGACACAATAAACAGATTTGTGGATCAGAGTCAGAGGATTGTCGTTGTGTTGCTGACTCTGCACTATTCTCCATCAGACCTTTGCCCTGAAGCTTTGATCCACCGTTTCACATGTTTTTAGATTCAAATGGAAATCTAAACATTTCAGACGGTGGGAAAGGAAAGAGGACACAAACACAAGACAGTCTGACAATCATACTGTAGATCGTCACAGTCTGGTAAAGAGAAAAAATATAAATCCTTCAAGTGTGACCTGGATTTGGACATTGTCAGAGAAGAAGCCTGTCTCACATTTTCAGGAAGACTGTTCCAGGTGATAGCTGTATAAATGTGCAATGCTGCCTCCCCATTTTTAAACCAGACTCAGAGTCCCAGCAGGAGGCCAGTCCCTGTGCTCCTCAGAGTCCCAGCAGGAGGCCAGTCCCTGTGCTCCTCAGAGTCCCAGCAGGAGGCCAGTCCCTGTGCTCCTCAGAGTCCCAGCAGGAGACCAGTCCCTGTGCTCCTCAGAGTCCCAGCAGGAGGCCAGTCCCTGTGCTCCTCAGAGTCCCAGCAGGAGGCCAGTCCCTGTGCTCCTCAGAGTCCCAGCAGGAGGCCAGTCCCCGTGCTCCTCAGAGTCCCAGCAGGAGGCCAGTCCCTGTGCTCCTCAGAGTTGGTTCTTATGGCTCTAACATGTCTCAGATGAACTTTGAGGTCATGGAGAGACTTGTAACAAACAGAGCTGTTTTAAAGTCTATTCTCTGAGCCACAGGAAGCAGAGACCTGAGACCGGGACTAATGCGATGCTACTTCCTGGTTCTAGTCTGGACTAATGCGATGCTACTTCCTGGTTCTAGTCTGGACTAATGTGATGCTACTTCCTGGTTCTAGTCCGGACTAATGTGATGCTACTTCCTGGTTCTAGTCCGGACTAATGTGATGCTACTTCCTGGTTCTAGTCTGGACTAATGAGATGCTACTTCCTGGTTCTAGTCTGGACTAATGAGATGCTACTTCCTGGTTCTAGTCTGGACTAATGTGATGCTACTTCCTGGTTCTCGTCTGGACTAATGTGATGCTACTTCCTGGTTCTAGTGAGGACTAATGTGATGCTACTTCCTGGTTCTAGTCTGGACTAATGTGATGCTACTTCCTGGTTCTTGTCTGGACTAATGCAATGCTACTTTCTGGTTCTAGCCTGGACTAATGCGATGCTACTTCCTGGTTCTAGTCTGGACTAATGTGATGCTACTTCCTGGTTCTCGTCTGGACTAATGTGATGCTACTTCCTGGTTCTAGTGAGGACTAATGTGATGCTACTTCCTGGTTCTAGTCTGGACTAATGTGATGCTACTTCCTGGTTCTTGTCTGGACTAATGTGATGCTACTTCCTGGTTCTAGTGAGGACTAATGTGATGCTACTTCCTGGTTCTAGTCTGGACTAATGTGATGCTACTTCCTGGTTCTTGTCTGGACTAATGCAATGCTACTTTCTGGTTCTAGCCTGGACTAATGCGATGCTACTTCCTGGTTCTAGTCCGGACTAATGTGATGCTACTTCCTGGTTCTAGTCTGGACTAATGAGATGCTACTTCCTGGTTCTAGTCTGGACTAATGAGATGCTACTTCCTGGTTCTAGTCTGGACTAATGTGATGCTACTTCCTGGTTCTCGTCTGGACTAATGTGATGCTACTTCCTGGTTCTAGTCTGGACTAATGTGATGCTACTTCCTGGTTCTAGTCTGGACTAATGTGATGCTACTTCCTGGTTCTTGTCTGGACTAATGCAATGCTACTTTCTGGTTCTAGCCTGGACTAATGCGATGCTACTTCCTGGTTCTAGTCCGGACTAATGTGATGCTACTTCCTGGTTCTAGTCCGGACTAATGTGATGCTACTTCCTGGTTCTAGTCGGGACTTGATCTGCAGTGTTTTAAATATTCTACAAATGTTTTAGAGCTTGTTTGAAGAGACCAGAGCAGAGACAGTTACTGTAAAACCCATGAAACCTTTACCTACTTCTTCTTATCGACATTTAAGCTTCGCACTGTGGAACAATGAACACGGACAGTCCCTTCTTTGCAGTGGTCTAGTGCTCTCTTTTCTCTTTTCCCGTTTAGATAAAAGAGCTTTTCTCCAACACTAAAAAAGGTGCGTCTCTCGTGCACAAGAGTCATGTGCAGCGGCGGCGGTAACCAGCTCACGTCCCCACAAACCCAATAACAGCGGTACCACGCTTAGCCCCGGCCAATTATAGATGTGTTAGTTCAGAGAGCGAGAGGGAAAGGGAAGAAAAATATCCCCCGCCGCAGAGCAAAGAAGATTGTTTAAAAGAAATAAGTTTTATAGAAATGGTGGTGTCATCCTTTTGTTATCGCAGCGGAGCAGTGTGACAGCAACACAACACAACACACACATACACACAAAGTACCCTTCACACACACTGGACGAGGTTTCTTTCCCAAAATGCAAGTGCTACAAAGGTGTGTTAGCATACATGTATCTATAAACACGGATGTCACATGTTAATAATAGTGTGTGGCTCAGAGAACAGAAGAGCACAGGGACTGGTCTCATGCTGGGACTCTGAGGAGCACAGGGACTGGCCTCCTGCTGGGACTCTGAGGAGCACAGGGACTGGTCTCATGCTGGGACTCTGAGGAGCACAGGGACGGGCCTCCTGCTGGGACTCTGAGGAGCACAGGGACTGGCCTCCTGCTGGGACTCTGAGGAGCACAGGGACTGGCCTCCTGCTGGGACTCTGAGGAGCACAGGGACTGGCCTCCTGCTGGGACTCTGAGGAGCACAGGGACTGGCCTCCTGCTGGGACTCTGAGGAGCACAGGGACTGGACTCCTGCTGGTCCCAGAGTCAGGATGTCATGGTGTGGATTTTGTTATTTTGTAATAGGTTTTAGTTTGACTTCCTGTCTTGATTGTCTGCCCCGCCCTGATGTGTTTCACCTGTGTCTATATGTACCTGTGTCTCTGTGTCTATATGTACCTGTGTCTCTGTGTCTATATGTACCTGTGTCTCTATATGTACCTGTGTCTCTGTGTCTATATGTACCTGTGTCTCTATATGTACCTGTGCTCCTTTCCTTGTTGCTGGTCCATTGTATTGTCGATGTCAGTTCCGTCCTGTTCCTTGTGCCTTTGGATTTTGACTTTTTTTTCTTCATCATTAAATCCTTTTTATTTTGGCGTTCCTGCAGTTTGGGTCCTTCCTTCACCACAGGAGCGCTGTCTCTTGGCCGCGCTCCAGGCTCCGGTGCGAGTCTGAAGCACAGACACCGCCAACAGAGTCTCTGAACGCGCACGCCGCAGTCTCCACCGCGCCGGCACCAGGACGCTGTCAGAACTGAAGAGGATCTGGTCTAACAGGTTTGAAGACAAAGGTACATTTGTTTCATGGTTTTTCTCTTTCAGAGCCAGAGCAGGATCTGTGCTGTATCTGAGGTGTCTGGGGTCACAGGGACTACTGCACACAGGTCCTATAAGTGTGGACTACAGGGACTCTATCACAGGGATCAGGGAGGAGAAGTCCCTGTGCTCTCTCCCTCTTGTCGTCACTCCAAGTGTTTGTTCCCGCAACGCACACAAGAGACTAGACCTCGCCCTCTCTGTGTGGAGTGGGAGACCCCAGTGGGAGACCCCGGTGGGAGACCCCGGTGGGAGACCCCGGTGGGAGACCCCAGTGGGAGACCCCAGTGGGAGACCCCAGTGGGAGACCCCAGTGGGAGACCCCGGTGCCAGGGCTGCTGAGAAGCCCTGTATGTTTTTTTATGTAAGACATGCACAAAACACAAAAATAAATAAATTCTATAAAACTATATGTGCAAAAAATACCAGCCAGCAGGGGGCAGTATTTGATATTTGAGTTTTTCAGACACATACATATATACAAACACACACATACATATATACAAACACACACATACATATATACAAACACACACATACATATATACAAACACACACATACAGCACAGACCAACAGTTTGGACACATCTTCTCATTCAAAGAGTTTTTTATTTTCATGATTATAAAAATTGTAGATTGACACTGAGGGCATCAAACCTATGAATGAACTCATGTGAATTATGTTCATAGTAAAAAAGTATGAACCAAGTGTAAATATGTGTTATTTTCTGGTTCTTCAAAGTAGCTCCTTTTGCTCTGATACTGCTTCACTCTTGGCATTCTCTGGATGAGCTTCAACAGGACCTGAAATGGTCTCCAACAGTCTGGAAGGAGTTCCCATGATGCTTAGCACTTGTTGGCCCCTTCACTCTGTGGTCCAGCCCCAAAACCATCTGGACTGGGTTCAGGTCCAAAACCACCTGGATTGGGTTCTGGTCCGGTGACTGTGGAGGTCATGTGGTCCAGCACCATCACTCTCCTTATTGGTCAAACAGCCCTTTCACAGCCTGGTGCGGGTCTACAGCAATAGTCATGAAAAGAACTCAGTGAAGGAGAGCTTTATACCCCCAAATTAATATATACCCCAAACCCAACCATACACCCCCACCTCCTAAACAAACATATAATCTAAACCCACCCTAAACCCCCCCTAATTTCCATACTACATAACACCTATCTACCCAATAACCATACAAATTCACAACCATCCCTCTAAACTCTACCCCACACTACCCATATAAACCATCCCAAATCCTCTACATCCACTCAAACAAATTAACCCCCCCCAAATCAAAAAAAACCCCCCCAACCTCCCATAACAAAAACCCCATCTACCCACCCTACCCCACTCTCTCTCCACACACAACTCACATACCACACACACACCACACTCACCACACACACCTCACACTCACACTCACCACTCAAACCACACAAAAACCACACAACACCCACACACACCACACAACACCATCCTCCTCTCTTCCCACTAACTCAACTACATCCCACACCTATGATCCATATAACACCCACATCTCACAAACATATATAAACATAGACACAACGACCAACACCCCTACACCCCTCCTCCCATACTCACACCAACCCCTACTAGAACAAATCAAAATCACCCCAACATAATAACAATCCCAGACTATCTCAACCTCACAGCCACCACCCACCACCACACCAAAACACACAATACTCACAACCACCCTACATCATACTCACAATATACACCTAACACCATCCACCAACTATATCCCCTCTCTACACACCTACACATCTACCCCATACACCAACACTCCCACAGAATCCAACACCACACATCCCATCATCACCCATCATCACTACACATACTCATAACACATCCACCCCCAACTACACCCCTCCCAATCACACCACTCTAAAACTCTCAACACTAATCCATCCACACACACCAACAGTCTGGGAGTTTTTCTCACACCTCATATCCACTACCCAACACCCCCACCAACAACCCACTACTCTCAGAACCCTAAGCCAATCTACCCATACCTACTTCCTCATCACCCCACAAACCCCCACCCAACCCCCCCACCCACCCCCATATCTACTCATCACTAAGTATTGGGATGTAATGTTTCGATAGTTACAGAGAATCAGGGAAAAAAAAAAAAAAAAAAAGATTCTGCTGGAACTCCTCGATACATTAATCATGTAGCAAATGGTAATGTTTTCCATTACTGACGTATTTAAGGATAAAATGTAAAGTGTCGTTTGACGTGAGAAAAACTTTTACCACTGATTAAAACCTTGTCACGATAAAAACGAGGAAAATGTAGCAAAGAAGGGGTGTATTTCAATCATCCATGTGTTCCTTTGTTCGAGTAGCCCCTCCCCTCCCTCGTTCTGTCTTCTCTCTCTCTCTCTCTCTCTCTCTCTCTCTCTCTCTATCTCTCTCTCTCTCTCTGTCTTTCTCTCTCTCTCGTGAAGAAAGAATTTTTTGTAGAAAATTACATATATACACACGATAATGTTACTGACATGGAGTCATAGGAACACAGAACTTTGAGTTAGATTATAAAGAGGCATTGTTTTATTCTTTTGACCATCTCCAAACGTCTAGACAAGTTTGTTAAAATGTTAATATATAGTAAACTTATTTCATAGGATTTAGCAGTTAGATTCGTAATTAAAAATCATTGGTTTTTTCATATTGTATTAACACACTTGTTTTGTGTTTAACACACTTGTTTGTGTTTCTGTTTTTTTTTTCTGAGAAAACTTCTGTCTGTTTCATTGGCCGATCGCCAAAATCGTCCCTGCCACAAACCACAACCGAGCATCATCATCATCAGCTGCAGCAGTATCGGCTGCAGCAACAGCAGCAGCATCATCATCAGCTGCAGCAGTATCGGCTGCAGCAACAGCAGCAGCATCATCATCATCATCTGCAGCAAAGTACAGGCCACAGACTTTTGCACAAACTGGGTGAAGTTATGTGCAGGAAGAGGAACGGTGTGTGAGCCGAGCAGAAGGACACGACACATTTGGGTGCGCCAGATATGAAAGAAGAAGAAAGACATTATGAGGAAAAGATTGAAAGAAGAAGAAAGTGATTGAAAAGAAGAAGAAAGACATGATAAAAAGTTGTCGGAAGAAGAAAGAAAGTGATTGATTGAAAGAAGAAGAAAAAAAGACATTGAGACAAAGACATTGGACACTTTGAGACAAAAGACACTGAAAGACGCCATAAGAGGAAGACGTGGCCAGGCTAAATGAGACAGACAGAAGGTAAATATATACAGACAAACAAACGCACAGAGACATGTGGAATTTAAGTCATATTTATACATTTAGCTAGGTCATTCGTTCATAACACTACATTTAGCTGCATGAAAGAATACAGGACAATCGTTAAAATTAATTAGACTCTTACTTTAGAATGAGACACAAGGAGATTAAAACAGCAGTATATTTGTGCATGATTTAGATGAGCTTTATTATTAAAACTATTATTGTTATTTAAAGTTATAGTCGCGGAGAAGTTTAGAATTATTGATTTTGACTGCATGATCTTGGTAATACGGATATTTAACGCAATTTTTCAACCTCTGAACCGTGGATCGTTTCTCATTTAAGAACAATCACATGCACAGTTGAAACTGGTGCTAGAAAGAGAACTGCAGCTTTTAATGGATGTTGCATTTAGTACAAAATGGTTTGTTCAGACAATTAAAGTTTGAAAAATGATTTAAAGCATTTCTAAATTTTGGCTAAAGGTGATTTTGGATCATTTCTGATAACACATTGACGCAACACTGTTCATTGGTTGAAAACACGGATGTAGGGACATTTTATGAAATCTTTTATGACATGTTTCTCTTCCAAATAGCTAAATTAGAAACAATTAGGACAATTATGTCTTTGATATAACTGTTGGAAGTTTATTTGAGACATGATTGGTGCAAGTACGACAACACACATACAGTAGGACAATGGTCTTTTCTCCACATGAACGTGAAACAAAGGTGAAGTATTAAAGTTTGAAACTAATTTACATTTTTAAGGAATCCAAACTGGCTTTTAAAAAAAAAAAAGGAAAAACATTTATTGCACGTGCATGAGTTTTTTTTAGTAACAAGAGCTCATTAAAAATATAGGGGACACAGTTTGTGACAAGCCCGAGTAAAGACCACGTGGTAAACACTAAAGTTGGAAATGGATCCTTGTAGGAAAAATCTCTCAAAGCTTTGCATGTTCTGCAGGCTCTGAAAGTTGCAACAATAGAAATAGCTCAAGAGACAATTGTAATTGGACATGGAAAAATATAACAAAGTTAAAATTACAGGCCTCTTGTGTATGTTATATGTTTGTGTATGTTATATGTTTGTGTATGTTATATGTTTGTGTATGTTATATGTTTGTGTATGTTATATGTTTGTGTATGTTATATGTTTGTGTATGTTATATGTTTGTGTATGTTATATGTTTGTGTATGTTATATGTTTGTGTATGTTATATGTTTGTGCGTCATGTCAAATACACTACGTTGACCTTAACAAACTGGACCAATACTAACGTGGGGTGTTGTGAGTGTGTTGTGGAGTGAAATGAGGAGTGCTGAACGGAGAATGGAATAACAAAAGTTTTCTGTAATGTTTTAATGTGATCATGGAATAATTATTTTTTGTCAACAGCATACGGTGTAAGTACTAGAGATTCAAAGATAACAAGCTTTATTGAACAGGTGTAAAAGTGAGAGTACTCTGGGATGAGTACTCTGAGAAAAGTACTCTGAGAAAGTACTCTGAGATGAATACCTTGCTGAAGGTACTGGGAGCCCCTCCCTCTGCTGTTTGTCCGGACAGTGATTCGGTCCAACCGCAGTGAGCGGTCATTGGGCGGAGGACAACTTTGGTTTGTAACTCACATTTAGGGGAGTATAAAATTAGAAACATACATATTGTTA